TCCTTCGGTGAGGGAAGAAAATCTTATCAACTCTTGTTTTTCCTTTCTTGTAAATTCAATGGGGCAAAACTTTGGGAGTTTTAGCCCATTTTAGTAAGCAATAGGAGGGGTAGTGTTTGTTTACTTTGCATTTAGTTATCTTATTGCAACATCATGCTAAGAACTCCATAAATGGATTTGGAGCTCAAAGCACCCTGCATGTAACCCAGGGAGATATTTTGGTTCCCTTGGGTTCTTTTCCTCTAACCCACCAACCATGGTTAGGACTTAGGCCAGCTTCACCAATCTCTGCCGTCTCTCCCTCCCTCCCTCCCTCCCTCCATGGAACTTTTACCTGGAGATGGACAAGAATACTTTTTATATTATGTATAAGCCTATGGTTTGGATTGTAATTAGAATGCTACTTAGGATAACATTCATTCTTCAACAATGGTGGTTGAGAATGGATGTATTACTTACTTCTATGCTTTAATTTGGGACTGATATGCTTCTTCGTTAATGCTTTGCCCATGCATGAGATGTAGCATTAATTTTTTCAAGTTCACAATTCTGTCATGGTAAATTTCAATATTGGTTTGAAAATTATTATGATTTGACGTATGAAAATCTACATTAGTTGTTTTCTTTAATTAAAATGATTTAACCAAAATTTTGGCGACCGCTTCATCGATCACTTGGCTTCCTACAAGTGGAAAACTTGTGCAAGCAAATCTTTTCTGTTCTTTCTTGATCAGAATAAGTAAATGTTTTCACTTTGGCATAAAATTAAAGAAGTATACGACCAATTTACAACCAAATTTGTTGCTTGTAGAAAGTGAGGGTCATAACTTGGGACTAAGAAAAGATGTATACAGTAGCTCATGTTTTTTTATTTGTTCTATGAAAAACAATGAGCTTTTATTAGAGAAGAGAAGCAAGACAGAACAGAGCATCAAGAGAATGGAACACTAAAGAAAAAGGAATAAATAAAATAAACTGAACGAGAAACATAGAATTAGAACCAGGCAATGAAATCCTCCCGAATATCCAAGCTTTGCTTTGCCAAGCAATTACATTTCCTTGTCTTATGGTGTAAATAAAGCTGACTTTCCTCAAATCTTTAACTTTCATGGCAACAGAGTTGAAAAGAATTTGCGTCCTCCAGAACCATAGCTTTGTTGAGCCATCACACATCCAAGAAACTGCATAGACTGAATCAAACTCCACCACCCGCCCATATGTCTGTTCTATCTGCTGAAATGATATTGAACACATCCAAGAAACTGGAGAGACTGAATCAAACTCCACCACCCGCTCGAATGTCTGTTCTATCTGCTGAAATGACATTGAACACATCCAAGAAACTGCAGAGACTGAATCAAACTCCACCACCCGCTCGAATGTCTGTTCTATCTGCTGAAATGATATTGAACACATCCAAGAAACTGCAGAGACTGAATCAAACTCCACCACCCGCTCGAATGTATGTCCTATCTGCTGAAATGATATTGAACCTACATCCCACTTGTTCTTTGAATGCGATGATGTGTGGAGACTTTGGAATACAGAGGATTTTGTTGCCCAACACAGTAAAATCTGTTTCAATAGTGGGGATTTTGTTGTGTTGGGAAAAATACGGTTCTTAACTCTGTATCTTATGGACCCTATGTGAATCGAGGAATAATGTTGTCTTAGAAAAGAAAGGGCCCAATTGGAAAGATAAATATTCCCTAGCTTTCGACCGACTGGCTCTTGGGGCGAAAAGCTGTGTCGAGGATTTCTGCCGCTAAGATAAAGACTTAAGCGCAGTGCTGATGGAGTGAAATTATGAATCAGTCAATCTCGGGATCCACCCCTTATTAATTGGATTTGTCCAGTCCAAGGCTATCTTAAGTGAAAGATGGATGTCTCCTCAATATTGAAGGCGGGTTTATGAACTGTCCGCAGGGGGGCGTTGTGTGTTAAAGGGGGGCAGAGGAGTCGCCTAAAGCATTCGATGGTCTCCCAATCCCAATAAGTAACTTGTTTTGTAGGCGCTTATGATCTCTGAATCTAAATTTAGCAGTATATCTTCAACCTTTCAGTCCATTTATCAATATTAAAAGGATATTAATCTTATAGGGTTTACCTTAAACCTTATTAGTGGCACTGTTTGTGAGGAATTCTTGAATAAAAGCTAGTTCCATTTATTTTTTATGTTTTTCCATGGCTAACAAGCCACAAGTTCCAGTCCATGGGAAGCTCATGGACCTCCCCACCATAAGTGCTCCATCATCATCGTCAAGTCTCTAGTAATTAGCTTAACAAGTGAAAATACTTGATAAACTCTTTTACCTACATAAGAGCAGCTATAGGCCTCCCTCTTCCACAACAAATGACTCTTCTGTTAGCACCACTTACACCCTTAAATTGTGCAGACAACTCCAATTTAGAGGGGAAGCATACTAAAAAATGATGTACAAAAGAGTAAAAAGGGTGCTACATGTATCATAGCCCTTATAAAAGCTGATATCACCATCAAATTATTGAACTCAATCCTTATTTCTATGATTTCAATTATGAGAAAACAGTAAAGTTTTTTCCATTGTGTCCTTAATATTTTGGTATTGATCACTAAAATATATGAAAAATTCAACAGGAAAAGATATCCATGGATATTAGAAAACCATAGATTTGTAAAGAATCAATCAAAATAAGATATTGTTAAATTGAAAATAAAACGATCAGGATAAGCCTAATTATAAAATCTAATAAGTACGGATTGAGACATGAGTTTGATAGGAATTAAGGAATAAAAATTGGATGATGAAAGCCATGACTAAACATCGATGATTAATGATTTTTATAGTACTATTATGCTTGTTAAACTGCTAAGAAACTAGCTTAGAGCACCCATACCCATTTTCTACAAATATCTTAGATTACTACTATGCCAGTTTTTCAAGAAGACACATTTTTATTTTTTATAAAAAAGTCTTTAAATGGAGCTAATATAGTTGTTTTATTCAATTTAAAAAGGACCTTAAATAGACAATAAATTCCTTAGTCATTATTGGAAGGATTTATAGTGAGAATATCACTTCTCTAAATATAGTAGGAAGATATGATATATCTTTACGTAGATAATCAATTAAATCCATAAATAAGACTAGATGATTTGATTAGAAGTACATGTCCATACAAGACCAATCTTTGAGATATTGTTTTAACCTAGGACCAAACATAGTGTCATTGTTAAATCTTTGTCCGAGATTGCATGTTTATAGCGAGTGTTCATCATAAATAAATATTTTGGATTTATTTTCTCTTACAAAGCATCCAAATTATAATGTTATTATAGAAAAACTTGTTCAGCTATATTGTAAACCACCTAGAGAGTTAACAGAACTCTTAGATGTCAATTTGATGTTAGAAATAAAATATCCGGAATGAGAATAGAGAAATCAAAATTAGAATGGCGGAGTCCAAATAAAAAAAAAAAAATTTAATTCTTTAATTTTTTATTTTAAAAATAAAAAGGAATAATTTTATTAATTGTAATAATAATAAAAATAGAGAAAAAGAAAGATTGATAGTAGGGTAGTAATAAAATATACTAGTAATTATATTATTTTATTTGACCGATCGATCCAAGTCTTTTTTAATTTATTTTATTTATATTGTTAAGTATATAATTTTTTATTTATTTATGTAAGTATCCGAATTAGCTTATATATATTACAATTAATTCTACGATACATTAAATATTATATAAATCTAATAAGTATATAAAATAGCACGAGAGTGATTGATATGCGTAATAAAATTCAAAGCCAGATATAGTAGAAGAGAACGAGCTCCTAGACCAAGACCTTAAGTGCTAATTACATGGTTTTTTTATTTCGGTTGGTCAAGGTCTTCTTCTGGAACTCAAATCCCTTGACTTATCGGTCAAGAGAATGCTCCTATTATTATTAATTGTTTCCGTGATTTTCGCTTATCTTTGTAATTAATTTATTAGCAGCAAATATTCGGTTAGTTCTTAGTTTTCACTCTTCTATTTTCAATCCTCAAACAACTTTAAAAGGAAAAGGTCATTAATTTTAGGCTATTTTATACATTACTTTTCAGCAATTTGTTTTTTAAATTAACATGGATATCTAAATTAACTTATCATATCTCAATTAATTCAACATACTCTAAAGTTTTTTTCTAATAATATTAGTGTTAGTGAAAAAAATTTGATATATAATATAAAACAATAACTATAATGATGAATAAACTAGGGATTCAATTAATTATTTAATGTTTTAATAGTCAAAACAAAGCTCTAATATAAACTATATATGTAGTTTATTAGTGGTTTAAGTATGTTGTTTTATGTCAAATAATGTAAGAACAGGATTGGCCTATATTTGTAGGATTCGTTTTCAAAAATAGCCTATTCTTTTACTATTTGATAATTTGTTTCTTAGAAAATTTCCCAATATTAATGCTTTTATTAATTAGAGATGAGTTGAATATAATATCCAGTTTGATAATATTAATAATATTTGCATAAGGGTATTATTTTAATTTATTTTCAATTTAAAAACTTACTACATCCCGCCAAGATTATTTGTTTTGGGTGTTATCATTTTTATTTTTATTTTAAAAAAAGGTTTTTCTTCTTTTTATGGTATAGGAACCCTTGCAAGCAACAGCCCAATTTCAAAATCTAAACAGAACTAATAAAGCAAAAGGCAAAGAATTCACCAGTCTTGTTGCGTCAAGAAGATAAATCTCAAGCAACGAAAGCTCGACGAGATGAAGACTGAAGTTCATTGTGGCACGTGGCAGTGCCACAAGCGTGCATGATTCTTTGGACATGGAAATATTAAGCAAGGATGGCTGGAAACAAATTGCAAGAGGGACCAAAGTCAAGAAATTCACCAGCAAAATTCATATTGACAAATAGCTACAGTATGGGTCCCCAAGTTTTTGCCGAAACCTTTTCTTGGGCTTTAAAGAATGAGAAAGTCCCCATGTATTCGCCTGCTAGACCTTTTCTTGGTCTTCAAACAATGAGGAAGTCCGAGGAGGATTAAGTTCTGTCCAAGAAAGTGGGAAGTTTTGCGTGAACAAAATATCTGAATCCCCCGTTGTATTTATACATAAGACTAGACTAAATAAGCCTTATCCCTACTCTTTGTTTTCTCCCATTTAATCTTATGCATAGATTGACTATACTTTACCTGGAATCAACCTTCTCAAATGGCTTCCTCCTTTTCCGCTTCAGCTAGCATCCCCACAAGAAAATATGATGTCTTTATCAGTTTCAGAGGGGTGGACACTCGTGATAATTTTACCAGCCACCTATATGCTGCTTTGTGTAGAAAAAAAGTCCTGACCTTCGTAGACAACAACCTCAGGAGAGGAGAAGAGATTTGTTCATCACTCTTGAAAGCAATTGAAGAATCCAAGCTTTCTGTGATTGTTTTCTCTGAAAACTATGCATCCTCCGAGTGGTGCTTGGACGAGCTTGTAAAGATCCTGGAATGCAAGGAAATGTATGGACAGACGGTTATACCGGTGTTCTACCAGGTCAATCCATCTCATGTAAGAAATCAAACTGAAACTGTTGGGGATTCAGTCGGTGAACATGAACTAGTAACAGAAAAGATGGAAAGGGTGAAGAGATGGAGAGCTGCCTTGAAGGAAGTGGCTGCTCTAACTGGGTGGGATTCGCGGAACATTAGGTGAGCTTTTTCAGGATTTACTCGTCAAGAGTTTGACAAAGTCAACTTGCACCATGTTTATTTTGAAATCCAACTTAGACAAGGTCCTAGTTGAGTTTGCTGAACTAAGCCGTGTTTATTATCAGTAACCAAGAAAATAAAATATATTTACGTGATTTGTTCTAAAAAAAGATATCAATACCAAAAAAAAAGAAGCTAGACCATTACTTCAAATTGTTCAAACATTCGTTCAGACCGCAAGGTTCACGAAGCAAATTTCTATAGTAAATAACATGTATTTTTTTAATGATGTGCGATGTCTTGTCCATACAAATATCAGAATGCAGTAATTAAACAGACGTCGTGGACCCTTCAAGATCTTTATTTAAAATCATTTATTCTTATGTAGTAAATCAAATATATTATATGCTTACTTAATATCTTTAAGAAATTTTGCAGCGTTATTAAACCCAGATTCTGAAAATTAGATATGATACTTTGTGTTATTTTCTGTAATTTCTCAAGAACTTACAAGATGTATTCTTTACGTTTGGTAGATCAGAGTCTGAACTTATTGAGGCGATTGCTGGAGATATCTTGAACAAGTTGTATAAAATGTCTCCTGGTCACTCTATGAATCTGGTTGGCATTGAGGAACACATCAAGAGAACTGAATCTTTGTTGTGCATGGAATCACAAGAGGTTCGGATCATAGGAATATGGGGAATGGGTGGTATAGGCAAGACCACCATTGCAAGAGCTGTATTTGATCGAATCTGTAATCAATTCGAAGGATTCCACTTTCTTGCAAATGTCAGGGAAAACCTAAGAAGGTATACTGCAGTTGATTTACGAAACAAACTTCTTTCTAAAATATTAGATGAAGATAATCTACTTGAGCAGCCTCCAAGTTTGGCAGTTGCTTTTACAAAGGATTGTCTCCGCCGCAAAAAGGTTCATATTGTCCTGGATGATGTGGATAACTCCAGGCAATTGCAGGAGTTGTCACTTGGGGTGCATGATTTGTTTGGTCCAGGAAGCAAAATCCTTGTAACAAGCAGGGATAAGCAAGTGCTTATAAAGAATGGAGTTGATGCCATATATAAGGTGCAAGGACTGAACAACCATGACGCCCTTCGACTCCTGAGTTTGAATGCCTTCAAGAAGAACTGTCCCAAGAGGGATCACATAGAGTTGCTAGAGAGGATGGTAGATTATGCAAAAGGTAATCCGTTGGCTCTGATAGTCTTGGGTTCCTCTCTTTATGATAGAAGCAAAGAGAAATGGTACAGTGCATTGAATAAGTTGGGGAAAGTTCCAAACCCTGAAATTCAAAGGGTGTTGAGGATTAGTTACGATGGATTAGATGGGGAACAGCAGCAAATATTTCTTGATATTGCATTCTTTTTCAATGGCGCAGAATGGAACCATGCTGTGAAAGTTTTAGACAGTTGTTATTCCTCTCTGCAGTTTGACTTAAGCATTCTTATTGACAAGTCTCTAATCACCATTTCTCAGAACACACTAGAGATGCATGATATACTACAAGAAATGGCTTATAGCATCGTTCATGAAGAATCTAAGAATCCTGGAAAACGCAGCAGGTTGTGTGATCATGAAGATATCTATCACGTACTGAAGAAAAAGAAGGTAAATTCTATAGTTTGTGAATATTTTTTCTCTCTCGTGTGATGTAGTAAGCACAGGTCGTTATGTATTTTGAACACAGTTGATTTTCCAAGTAGATCAAAATATATCTATTACATGCTCTAAATTATGTATTGCAAACTTATTCTCTGCCCTTCGTTATCAGGGAACTGAAGCAGTTGAAGGCATTTGTTTGGATATATCTAAAATGCCGGAGATGCACTTGGAATCCGACACATTTGCAAGGATGAATAGTCTCAGGTTTCTTAAATTCTACCATCCCTTTTACATTATGGACTCCAAAGACAAAGTGCACCTTCCTCTGAGTGGCCTCAAATATCTCTCTGATGAACTGAGATATCTCCACTGGCATAGATTCCCTGCAAAATCTTTGCCACAAAATTTTTGTGCCGAAAACGTTGTTGACCTTACACTACATTCTAGCAGAGTTGAGCAACTTTGGACCGGGGTACAGGTACGATTTTTTTTTTTTTTTTTTTT